ATGCTGAGGTGCTGGTGCTTCCCTCCTGCCACCAGCAGCTACTGCTGAGTGCATGCAGCAAAGGAGGAGCAGCAAACTGGAAGCAGGGAGTGGTGGCAGCTGACAGTCCCTGGTGGCTCGGGAGTCCCCATGGCACCAGCTGGACATGGATGGGCTCTTGTTTTAACCCAGAGACCCAGGGAAGACTCGAGGACTGCCACCAGCCATTCCCAGGGCAGTTGCCTTCTGAGATATGCTGAGAACCATTTCTCTTGACCTGAGGTCACTTATGTCTTCTTACTGTTTCCTAATTATTAGGTGTTTGATCTTTGGGGACTCACTTGTTTTTCAAGAAATTCACGTGAAGTTTAATTTCCCCTTTATGCGGGGCAATGGAACTCGTAATGATCCAGAGGAGCAACTGCAAAGCTGTGGGACTCAAGCCTAGTACCTCACTGGAGTATTTTTTCATCTTTTCTGACTGGTGTGGTAAGATATCTAAGTGGCTATTTTGCACCCCAGTAGGGCTGAATAGAAAAGGAAAAAGTACTAGTATGATGTAAATGTAAAATTATTGATTAGAAACACGCCTAAAGAGAGAAGATTCCCACAGCAGTGATCTTTGGGATAAGCCATGCATTTATGTTATCCACAATGAGAAGGAAACGTGGACTCCAAACGAAAGAATCGTTTACCTTCCAGACCAAGCTTTTGCAGCAGAATTTCTTAGAAAGAGCATTTGTGAATGCAAGTTTCAGAGCAACAGGTGAGGACTTTTGCCCCTACTCCCTTGGCATCCCTCCAGCCTTGCAGTGCCAAGCAAGAGCCAGAATTGGGTGTGAGAACTTTGTTGTGGCTGCCAGTGAGGGGTCCTGAGTGTGCCGTGGCCACAGCCTGGCCTTGCCCAGTGCAGCAAGCACAGCCTTGGGGGCCTGGAGGCACTGGGGGGGGCCTTGGTGCATCCCAAGAGGTGGCACTTGTCCAGCTAGGCTGTTCCTCCTGGTCCTGTCACACTTTGGGGGTTCATCCCTCGTGCTGGGATGGGGCAGCCAGAGCAGAACCAGGCAATCAGATGCAAATCTGGCTCAGAGAAGATCCCTGCATCACAGGTGGGAAGATTCTTCCCTCCATAAGGGATCTCACAAGCCCCAGCCTGTCCCAGTGCCCTGCTGCCCCCGAGCCTGCGAGCCCAGTACAGCGTGGGGAAGCTGAGCTGGGGCTGGAGCCAGCTCAGGTGCCTGAGCCCAGCACTGACACACTGCCCAGCAAAGCTGGCTTTACTGAATAGGAATTTGCCTAGGTCTCTCCACTGGGAATTCTTCCCTTCTTTATGCTTTCATTGCAAGAAATACAAAAATTTCTCTCAGTTGCCTGAATCACCATTTCTCCAGGTGACCATTTCAATGGTTTCCCCCCATCCTGGTTGTCTCCTGATCCCAGTGATGTGGTGGGTCAGGCCACAACACACAGCTCTGCTGCACTTCTCAAACCCTAGCTGGTTCAGTGCTGAAAATCCATACCTGATTGTTCACAAGCCAGTCTAAAAAGGAACCAGCCACATTCAGCTGTTAGGGTGAATTTTCAGGGCATGAACAAATGAAGAGGGGCTGCAGCCCAGGAATGATCCCACCACAAATGGTCACAATTTCTTTCCCACACAGGAGTGTCAGAGCACTCTGCAGCTCCTGTCACCACAATGTGCTGCCACAGGCCACATCCCTGCAGCATCCCAGAACCAAACCCCACATTCTAACAGAGAAGCCTGGAAAAAAGACGTTTTTAAAGATCCCAGCAGATTGGTTTGTCCCTGAGTCCATGCTGTAGTTTCCCCCTACACAAGTACAGAAAAGAAAGCAAAATTCAGCCCACCTGTCCCAAGAGCTCCCTGCAAACCAGAACCTTCCCATGGGAAGCACCACACAGCGCATCACAAATACTGAGTGCAAAAAAAAAAACAAACCAAGCAACAAACCCCTAAAAAATTCAACCCCAAAATAAACTACTGAACACCCACACTGGGCTGTGAAATATCTACACATGCAAATGGGTGCACACACATGAAGTTCTCAGTTTTTAAGCACCTTTCATTTTTTTTTAAGATTTGAGGAGACAAAAAACCTCAGTGAAAAGGGGTTTTCTTGCTCTGGCAGCACTGGACAGGAGGCCTGGGACCAGGTGAGGCCTTATGCTTGCTGTTGGGCAGAAGCAGAACACTGCAGGTGTTCTGCAAAGGACAGGTTGACCAGAGCACAGGGAGGGTGGGTCACACTGGGGTGACAGTCACCTTGCAAGGGTTGGCAGGTAAGTGTTGGGTGTTAATACATGGCAAGAGTGCAAAAAACAGAGGGAGTTGCAGGAGCTCATTTGCTGTGGTTTGTGCACTCTGCTGACCCACCAGAGGCTCAGGGTCTGGATTAAACTCTTCATGAAAACATTATTAATAATTCATTAATCCTTTATAAACATACTCTGGATATAAAGTGTGATAATAGTTCTGCTTCATCTCCTGTGCTGGCTGGGCATGGAGTGATGAAAGACATCTCAGACTGGCACGGAAAGAGTTTGAATTTGCTTCTGAAAACCAGGACGGAGGAAGATCACCTGTGAAATGGGCACTGGGGGCTGGGTGCTGGTGGCAGTGCCAGGCTGAGACAAGTCCCCCCACAGACACCGCCAAGGGCTTCTGGCTCACAGCAGATGAGAAGGGTCCACGGGAGGGTTTCCATAAGGGATTTCTCCTGGGGTACCATTTCCAACACTTGGGCAGGCACAGGAGAGCCTGGTGGGTGAGACATGGCAGGATCTGTTCCTCTGGGAGCTGCAGAGGGGGCAATGGGGTCACAGCCAGCCTCTGATTTCTGGGGTGCTCCGGAGGGACTGGCAGCAACTGGGATGCACAGGAGGGGAATGTGAAGTGCAGACCAAGCTGAGGGTTGGACAGTGCTTGGCTTCTCCACTTCTCCATGTGTGTTGAGGCTGGAGAGAAAATGCTTCCTCCAGTGCTGCTGCCCAGTGGCCACAGAATGGCTCATCCAGCGGTACAGGAAGAGTGGGATGGGAAGGCAGCACCTCACCACACACCCGGGAGCTCGACTCAGCCCCTGCCTGCTGTCACTGCAGCCGTGCCACTGTCCCTGTGCATTCCCTGCTCCAGCTCCATCCCAGACAGCACTGCAGGGGGAAATAAAAAGGCATTAAGTGTGAAGCCCAGGAAGTCAAAGGATGTAAACGCTCCCCGGGAGTCAGGAGATGTCAGTCTCTTCCCCAAGAAGACGCCAGGGATGGAACAGGGTGATCTCAGTGTGGTCTCGGGCTTGGTGAGGGACAGAGGTTGCGATGAGGCCAAGGAGGGCGGGGCAATGCCGAGGGCACGGAGTTCCCCAGAGCAGTGCTTTTGGGAATGCCAAGGCAGTGGAGTGAAGGGGAAATGCTGCAGGTGAGCAGCAGCAGCTGGCTACTGCAGTCCAGGCTCCCTGGCCCAGAGCTAGGGGCTGTTGCTATTAAGAAGGTTCATCTTGGCTTTAATCTCATTAAAAGAATTAATAACTATCAGCTGTCTCAGTTTGGGCTCACCACAATTCCTTCAGCCGAGGTCCCCAGCTGATACTAAGGGACACAACATGGTGAGTGGAAGAACTTCTGGTGAAATCAGAATTTTCTGGAGTGTTGTGGGGGTATCTCTTGTCTCAGAGATTGGGAATCTGGGCTGTGAGCTGGACGTGAGCAGGACGCTTTTCCCAGGGCACAGGGTGCAAAACCAGTTCCTAAGAGGAGCGAACTGGAGGCAGATCAGCAAATTTCTGCTGGATTTGGAGCTGTCTCAGCTGGTGCTGGAGCCAGTGAAAAGGTTGGACCATGTTCTTCCAAAGGCAGAAGGAGTCCATCACGGAGAGAGGAGGGATTTGCATTAAAAATTAGTGTCGCCTAGCAGTGGAATTTGGCCCTTCATGGGAAAGGATGCCATTTCTAGTGGGGAAAGAAGATGCTTCTGTTACAGCAATCCTCTCACTCAGGCCTGCCCCATCCTGACACATTGCAGTGGCTCCCAGACTTATCTTTGTCCTTACTTCAGCCTCTTCCTTCTGGCCTCCTCTTCAGCAACTCTTCACCACCACCATGGACGTGCTTTGGCCACCTCGGGGAAGCTGTGCAGATCCCTGGTTCCTCTCCCCTCCTGGGGATCTGACACCGGGCAGACAACGCTCTGTGGCTCAACAGTGCCTCTTCTGGGTGTAAAGGTACAGAGAGAAATATATACACACATATCTACAGGCATATCCACAGGGATACAGGTGTGGCTAGGGCAGGTGACTGGCTCCAGGAGGAAGGGGCTCACTCAGATGGGACCACCAGCCACAGTGATGCGGCCCCAGGCTGGCCACCCCTCCTGGCACGGTAGCCAAGGGCTCCGGCGCGGCGCTGGGACGGTGCTTTGATTCCTGAGATTCCTTTTAAGGTCGATTTAAAAAAAAACACCGTGAGGCACCAGGAGCAGCCTGACTGACCCGGCCACGGAGATTCCACCAGTGCTTTCAACCACAAGCCCCTTCAGGACTGGTAGTGGGGGGTTATCTTATCATGGTAAAATGTAGCTAAGAAATCAAGGAGGGAGAGGAGTATTTGCTGGTTTTGCAGGGTGGAAGCATTATTTAGTGTCATTCATGAGACTTTCCTAAAAATCCCAAATCTTGTGGCTTCATTGCTCTTGTCGCTCCCGCTCGGTGTCTCTGTGACATGCCAGCCAGGCTGTACATGGAGTCATGATGTGAGGAAAGGCACTGATGTCACAGGCTTATCAGGACAAACAGGTTTCACCAGGAACAGGTGGATTTCAGGAGCAGGTGATTTCACTGGGAATACCGATTTCCCACGCCAAGGCTGCTGGGGATGGGTGCTGTGGCCCTCCATGCCGGCGGCTCCAGGGGTCGTGGCCGGACGGCATCGAGGGTGAGGGGCGTGGTGAGGGCGAACAGGAGGAAGATGAGGAGTGCGGGCCAGGCGTGCGGGCGCGAGGTGTGGAGTGAAGCCGCCGCCGTGTCCCCGGTGTCCGTGGGGCCGCACTCCCGGGCCCGGGGGGAGCCCCTGGGCGGCGGAGCGAGGTCAGTAGTTGCAGTGGCGCTGGCAGGGCTGGTGGACGAAGGCCCCCGGGAGCTGCTTGGCTCGGCGGGACGGGCGCTGCCGGGCCCGGTTCTGCCGCTGCAGCGCCTTCTGGCCCAGGCGGTGCCGCTCCGCCAGCTGCTTGGCCCGCTGTGCCCGCTGCGCCTGGCCCAGCTTGTCCAGCGCCGCCGCCTTCACCGGCAGCACTCGGCCGTGGTGCGCCAGCGGCAGCTCCGGCCGCGGCTCCGGCACCGCCCTGCGGAGACAGCGCCGTCAGCGCCACGGCACAGCAAACCCGGCGGGGACAGAGCTCACCGACGGGGCACGGCCCTCCTGCCCCGACAGCCTGCCCAGGGGAGGGATGCTCCAGCAAGGCAGGCTCTGGGATACCCGAAAAAATCCACCAGCAACTGTGTCTAAGTCCCTTAAGCCTGGTCTGTCTCCATCCCACTGTGACCCCTTTGGAGCCTTGGCTAGTCTCAGGTTCCCTGCAGCCCATCTCTACCCCTCCAGCACTAAGGTGCTTCTGAAGCTCTGGAAATCGAGCTCTGGCCCTCAGGGAGACTTTGGAGAGAGAAGTCCTGAAGGAATGGTGTCCACTAGCCAGGACCAGCGTCACCTAACCAGGAATGGTGTTCTCTAGCCAGGAATAGCTCCCCGCAACTAGGAATGCTGTTCCCTAACCAGGAACAGTGTCTCCTGGGCTGGAGCAAAGCTCACCCCAGATTGTTACTTCTCCCCTGTCTCACTAAGGGGCTCCAGGGGAGGTGTTGGAGGGCTGGGACAGGGGGACAGCAGGGACCCCATGGCATGATGGCAGCCAGGGCTTGTCTGGCAGCAGTTTGGCTGAGCATGGGCATACTCCAGGTTTTCCCTGGGGGCTGCTGGGCAGTGGAGGGCAGATCTCCAGGATTTGGCCCCAGGAATGGGTGTGGAGGGCTCCAGCCCTCCTCCCCCCTCAGGGCTGAGGGGCAAAGGGGCGATTTGGGACATTTCTGTTTCATTTCCCCACTGCTAAGCTGGGGTTTGAGGAGAAGCTGGTGAGCCAGGGCTGGTGGCCTCTGCTGGGCCAGTCTGGGGATTGTGGGGGGCTGCAGCACCCTCCTCCCTAGGGAACCTAGGGGTCTTCAGGGGGCCACTGTGCCCAAAGGCCACCATGTTCCATTTGGTTTGCTTTGCTTGGGCCATACCTACGCAAAGCCCTGGTGTAAGCCCAGCCTGGCAAACCCCCTGGACAGCTGGCAGGGTGATGAGTGGCACTGGCCTGAGTAGCATTGGCAGGAGTGGCCTTGACGTGGGTGGCTGTGCCAGGAGACCCTGCTAAGGGAAGGGTAGATGAACACAGCCCTCTCTCACCACAGCCCAGTGCAAAGCTCGTGTCCTGCAGCCATGGCCATCCCAATATACTGCTGAGACCCCTTAGCAGAGGATTTTGGGTCATGGGGGCTGCCAGCCGTGCCTGATGCCAGCTGGGGCAACCTGCCAGATATGCAGGGTGTTCCCTGAGGTAGGCGTGGGGACACTGATGTCCCCCACTGCCTCGCTCCGTCCATGGGTGTAGGTGGGGATTTGGGATGGCAGGACTGACCATCCATCCCTGGTCCCTCAGTGGGTGCTGGGGCTGCTGGCCCCCCAAATACCCTCAAAGTGCACTCACTCTGCAGCATCGTCCTCGGGGCCCTCCCCATCCACCTCGAGAGTGCTGGTGACGTAGACAGACATGCTGGGGTGCTCGATGAGCAGGTCCTCCATGGGGCTGCTCCCCACGCCGTCGAGGCCCGGCTCCTCTGCAGTAAAACAGGGGGGAGGGGTGACAAACCAACTCTCGTCCATCAAGCAGGGACCGGCCGGAGCCGGGGAAGCGGCCGGTGGCGGTGGCGGACCGGGGGGCGTCGGGCGGGGTCGCGCCGAGCGCCCGGTACCGCCAGCAGCCGGGCGCCGGGCGGGGCCGGGGCGGGCACGGCTGCCTGGGGCAGGGGTGCAGAGCCATGCGGGGCGCAGCGGGGACACACACACATACCATGTACAGTGGGGAGGGAGGGGGAGAGAAAGGGGCATCGTTAGTGCGAGAGACACCCACCGCCACCGCACCGCCACACGCGGGCCCCTGCCAGAACCCCCCGCTCCGGGACCCGGCTCGGCCTGGAAACCGGGCTGCTGGGACAAGCTGAACCAGAGTCGGGACACCAGCACGGTTTACTGCAGCGATGGGCTTTTTTCCTTCTCAAAAGGAGAGAAGAAGGTCAGGCAGTGAAAAACGCTGCTTTCCCCGTTCTGATGGCACCCGAGCCGGGCCGGGCCGTGCCAGGGGAACACCGACACGCCTATGCTCACAAACACCACGCAGCACACATGGAAACCAAGCACACACAGAGCAGAAAAACAGTCCACACCTTTTCTCTGGAAGAAATCATGGGAATAAATTCTTCAGCAAAGGTTTTCACTGTGCCTTCAACTCCAGCCTGTTAGAGGCCAAATTTTGAGTGGCTGATCCAGAACCTCACACCCCTCCCCACCCACCCCAGCCTCCCATGCCTTCCCTTCCTCATGTCTACCTGGCAACAGCACTTGGGCCAGGGCTTTCCCAGGCTGCCCATGCTTGGAATTACTGGTGCTGTAATGGGAAGGGAGCATGCACCAAATGTGGGATGCCCACACCCATTCCTGGACTCATCAGGGAGATTTGAGGGAACTGGTAAGGGGAAGGCAGTGCAGTATCTATATGGACCCTGCAGCTGGGTGAGGGAGCAGGAGGAAGCACAGACAAATCCGTTCTTGCATGGAGAAACAGAGCATGGGACCGGGTATTCCTGGCTCGGTGCATCCCCAGCTCCTCCTGCAGCTGATGCCCCAGCCCAGGACTCAGGACAGGCCACAGTTGGCCTTGCAAACACGAGAATATCTTTCTCCAGGTCAGAGGACATCAGTCTATTAATAGTTGTTGACATACTGGGCTGGAGATTGTTTGTCAGCCTGGAGACAGCCACCAAGCCCAGCTAGAGCAGCAGTCCCACAACAGGGGTCTGTGGACATGGAAAGCAAGGGATACCCTGTGCCCACCCCTTGCCAAAGTGGGTCTTAATGTCACAAAGCAATACTTTGGGATCCTCAAGTACCTCAGCGATGCAGCCACATCCTGGGAAATGTTCTTTGCTCTCTCCCTGGGTGCTGAGCAGGGCAAGCGGGCAAGAGTAGCATCAGAAGCATTCCGGGAAGGGAATTACTGAGTAATTCAGGTGTATTTTGCAACACAGGGGACAATCACCAGGCTGACAGACACTGAATCCAGAGGCTCCCTAGGCTGCCTCTCTGCTGCTGGGACGGAGCCAGGCTGGGAGCTGCTGCTGGCCACCACAGCTCCAAGGGGAAGGATGGGGCTGGAGTCTCCAGGTTTGGTTCTTGGAGTGTTTGGTATAACTCAAGCCACAGAAATATGTCTGAAAGAATCTGGTCCCACACTGCTCAGGGACTGCTGTGGGAACAGACTGCAGCTGAATTAGCAGTGGGGTGGCATTCACAGGCAGACACTGCTGGAAGTCAGCGCTGCACCAAGAGCCGAGGCACTTCACCAGAAAAACACGGGAGTGTTTTGTGCCAGAGTCAAGGCCTTCTCCCCTCTGAGCCATCTGCCGTCTTGACCCAGGGATCAGGGCACAGCGTAGCATTTCTCTGACTGGGGAATCTCCTGGCTCCTCCTGGCATGCTTTAGGTTCGCTGCAGCTGCTGCCAGCTGTCCCTGACACGTGGCAGCAGCACGCCCACTGCTCCAGAGACCTCCCCGCAACAACCCCAGGCCATGGCACTGCCGTGACCCTCCCTGGACAGTCACCTGAATGCCCAGAGGACAGAGAAGCCTCCACAGCTGCCCATGCCTACACCACCCATCACCTCCAGCAGATCTCCTCAGTGCTCCCACCAGGCATGGGGCTGGCCCTGTCCCCCATCCCAGTCTTGTCCCTGCTGTGGTCCCCTCTCCAGGTCACTGCATATGGGAAAAAAAACCCTAACAAACAACTCGAACCACAAAAACAAGCATGGGGAACAGGCAGGGAACATCTGCTCAGAGACCTGCTGCCTGCAAGAGGGAGGACAAAACCCTTCTCTTAAACCTGCAGGATACACCTATGGTCCCCTAAGCTGGGGCATCACAACCAACCATGGGCTACCAAAGCAGGGCAAGGCCATCAGGAGCTCCTGCACAGGCAGGAGGGTTTGTCTCTGACTGCTGCTGGAGTTGTAATGAAAAGATCATAAAAACATCATTGCAATTGGCTGAGTCATCAATCTACAACAGAAACTCTCAAGGTCTGAACAGAGCTGGAGAAGATCTGCACAGGAGGAATTCAATTTACCTGGCTGGTATCAAACAGGGGTACCAAACAGCCCCTGTGGGCTCTCTAGGTACAGGCACCTGGTGCCAAACATCCCCAGTGCTTAGCATGGGCAGTGGGAATAATTTGGGATGATAACCCCCATGGAGCTGAGATTTACTCCTCTCAAATGACTCAAACATGGCCAGATCCTTGGTTGCACATCCCCAGCTGGGACAGGCAGAGCCTGCCAGGGCTGGGTCCCTCACCCCACTGACCCCCGTGGGCAAGATCACACCAAAACTCTGGGTGATCTCCCTGGCTGGTGCCTTGCCAGGATCCCCTCCTGGCATGGGGGCACCTGGAGGCTTCTGGGCAGCAGCAACCCCTAGCTGGAGATGCTGATGCTGCTCCCACACTGGCAGAAAGTTGAGAACCATCACTGCGAGAGGAAAGGGAAAAAAGAGGAGCAGGTCAGGGGCAGCTGCAGTGACCACAGGGCTGGGGTCCATGGGCGGAGCATGGGAACCAGGGAAGAAAAAATGAAGGGCAGAGCTGCTCCCATGTGGTGTAAGCTCACCTGCTGACATTGCAAGGGTATGCCCAGCTCTGGAGAGACAAGGTGCAGCAGAGGCTGTGGGAAGCCAGTTCTGTTGCTTTTCTCACCTGCAAGATCAATTATGAGCCAGCCATCCTCCTCCTCTTCTTCCTCGACAAAGGGTTTGGGCTCCTCCAGGCCCTCTGGCACGTTGCTGTCACTGAAGAAGAGGCTGGTGAGACGCTGAAACATGGTGGGGAGCGGTCCAGCAGGAGGGACAGGCAGATAGAGCTACTGCTGGGCACCAGCTTCCAGGCACAGACACAGGAGAGATAGGCAGGGAGGGGAAAAAGAGCCCTCGAGGTCTCAGTGACAGAGATGTTTGGCTGACAGAGAAATCAGAGCTAGGCGGTGTGCAGTGCAATTGTGAGGTTCTTCACTTGGCCTCAGTGCAAAGGCCTGTAAAAGGGAGAGAAAAAGCAACAATACATTAAAACAGGCTGGCAGTGTGGCTCTCCTGCATCCCAGGGGCTCAGATGGGCTCAAGAGGACAGCAAAAAGGTGGCTTTGGCACTGATTTGTGCCATCGATTGTCCCAGCTGGTGTTGTATCTGAAGGCAGCAGTGAAGGGCTGGGTGCTTGTGCCCTGCAGCCCCCATCAAGCCCCACATTGTGTCCTCATCCTCATGGGTGGGGTGTCCCAGTAGACCCATCCCCAGGAGCTGGCAGGAACAGAGCAGACACTGTTCTTAAGGCAAACATGCCAAGTTCCTCACAGCAGGCAGAGCGAGGAATCAGAATCCCAGACTGGTTTGGATTGGGAGGGACCTTAAGGGCTTATCACATTCCACCCTCCACTAGCCCAGGTTGCTCCAAGCCCCATCCAGCCTCGCCAGGGATCCAAAGGCAGCCACAGCTGCTCTGGGCACCCTGTGCCAGGGCCTCCCCAACCTCACAGGGAGGAATTCCTTCCCAATATCCTATCTAACCCTGTCCTCTGCCAGTGGGAAGCCATTCTCTTGTCCTGTCACTCCAGCCCCTTTTCCAAAGTCCCTTTCCAGATCTCTTGGAGCCTCTTTAGGCACTGGAAGGGGCTCTAAGGTCTCCCTGGATCCTCTTCTCCAGGTGAACATCCCCAGCTCTCCCAGCCTCACCCTGAGGTGAGGGGCTCCAGCACTTGGAGCATCTCTGTGGCCTCTTTTGGACTCCCTCCAGCAGCTCCACATCCTTCTTATGCTGGGTTCCCAGAGCTGGAGGCAGCTCTGCAGGTGGGACTTCATCTGAGCCGGCAGAGGGGCAGAGTCCCCCCTCATCTGCTGCCCACACTGTGGGGACAAGTCCAGGGTGCTGTTGTTGGCAGCTCTAGGCTGCCAGCACACACTGTTGCTCACATCCAGCCTCTCATCCGAGCCCTTTGTGGGTCTCTGCTTCACCTCTGCTCAGCTCATCACTGTTTTATCCCTGGGAAAGCAGATTCCCTCCAGTGGGGGAAGGTCAGCACTCATCAATTTCATTAATGACTGCCAAGCTCCTGGCAAGGCACAGGAATGGCAGCCAAAAGGGGCAGAGTGTTATTTGTGTGCTTCTTGGTCTAGAGACATTAAAAGGGTATTAAAAGGCCATAAAATGCCATCAGGATCTCAATGCAGTGAGAGGGGACAGCTGGGTGCTACTGTGCTTGGCTCACTGATGTGAGTGCATTTAAAGGGTAAATCCCCATTTAATGGCAAAGCCCCAGTCCAGGGCTCTGTCATCAAGGGGCCATAGAGCTTGAGTGATCCTCCACCCAGGGGAAACTCCATCTGCTCTAGACAGCATGGAATGGGAAGGGTGCAGGAGACACCATGTGTCCATACACGCCCGAGTCCTCCAGCAGGTCAAGTTCCAGCTCAGCCCTGCCACCCTGTGAAGCGGCTTCCCCAGCCCCCTGGGAAGGTGGCTGGCCTGGGCACCGCACTTCTGGAGCTCAGACACTCTTTTATCCATCCCCGTGGGGTAGCAATGCCTTTTGCAGTGCCTTGGTAGGAACAACATCTGCTCTACAATGCAGAAAATGAGAAATCAAAGGAGCCTTCCCCCTGGATGGCATCGCCTGGATCTCAGGGGCTCTGAACTCTGACACTCCCAGATGCAGAAGGGAGTGATGGAGCATGAAGCAACCCTGCAACACCCAGCTCTCCCTCTCTGGCATGGCCAGGGCAGCAGTGTGACACTGCCTGTCCCCCAGAGCAGGTCTCAAGCCCCTGGTGACTGCAGTTGCCCCAGAGGCACAAGGCAGACCATGAACCACAGCCGTGCCCTGCTGCAGACTGTGGTGCTCAGGGTCCAGCCCAGCTTTCAACTCACTCCGGGATGGCTCAGCTGAGGCTTGTGGAGCCTCTCACCAGGAAGAACTCTCTGCTCTGTGTCCTAAGAGGGTCCCAGGCTTCCCCTGGAGGTACTGAGCAGGGAGGGTTTGGGCATTGAAACATGACAGAGTTGTTTTTCTGACCCCACAGTCATTCTGTTATTCTCCAGTGCTATCAATTAAATCAGCCAGACACTCCCTTTACCTGGATCATTAAAGCATAATAATATAAGTTAGGGGAAACAACATGAAGAGGGGCTGGTGCCCAGCTGGGCTTTGAATTGACTCTTGTCCATGTGTGCTCCACGCCAAGCACAGTGGGAGTTCCCTCCCCCAGGATGTCCACGTGCATCCATCCCCACCGGGCCAGGCTGGCAAAGGCCACCCTGACCAGCCCTGAGGGCTTCACCATGCCAGCTCAGCCTGGAAACCTGGCATCTGCCTGAGCACTCACCTAGTCAGTAAATATCTTTTAATATGACATGAATATTATTTTTAAAGAAGTTTATTAAATCTAATCTAACTCCACAGCTCCCAAGTCCCTGCTGGTGATGTCCCAGAGTCTCCCACTGTTTGCTCCTCCCCAGATGCCTGGGCAGGAGGGACTGGGGCAGCTCGTGGCAGGCACAGGGATCACAGGGGGCCACCATGGCTCTGGCTCAGTGAGAGGCCAGGAGTGGGTTCATGTGCTTCTTGAGCTGGGGCATTGCCAGGCTGGCAGAAGTGCTGAGCCAAAGCTGACCCCAGTATCACCAGGCAAGTCCTCAGGATGACACAGTAGGGCTGGGGACAGCAGGGTCTCCCGTGCTGTGCCCCAAGCCCACTGTCAATGCTCTTGACTTAGACTGACAATTGCATGAGGTTTCTCCCTGCCTAGATATGGATGTCACCCAACAGCAGAGCTGGGGACAAGATCTGGAACACAGGGACAGGGGAAGACAGTGGCCCCAATCTGGCTGCCAGGGGAAGGTCACTCAGAAAAACACCCAAGCAGCTCGCACAGGCCAGGGGCTGATCCAGGCAGAGATTTTCCCTGTTGCCTAAGCAAAGTCAGCCTGGAATGTCTTGCTGCAGTGACTGCTTCTCATGCTCTGCAGGCTTGGCTTTGGGAGCCTCCTGCAAGGGGCTCATCCTCCAGCAGGCTCAAAGTCAAATGGCCAATGACATGGTCAAAACCTTTCAGTTTTCCTTTGTTAAATCATGACAAAAGCTTTCACAGGACTGTAGGAAAGCTGTTCCCCCAGGAACAGCTCAGAGCACCTGCCTGCTTAGGGACTGGTCCCCAGGAAATCACAGTATGCAGGCAGGGGGAATAAGGTACCTGGACTGCCTAGGTGCCCATCCCAACTCGGAGGCAATTTGTCTTTTCTAAAGACACAACAAATGTTATTATTTTTGATTAATAAAAATGCCACCTCCTGCCAGGGGTGTGGGATGAGATGCTCCATAAGGTCCCTTCCAACCCCAACCAGTCTGTGAGTCTGCAATCTCCCACCCTGCTAGAAGGGAGCAGCTCCTGGACTTGAGCTGCTCCAGACCCTTCCTGGCAGCCACCAAGCTCCTCCATTAGCTCATCATGGAGGCTCAGGGTGACCTGCTCAGTCCTTCACAAGGCAAGAGACTCCTTGGCTGCCAGACAGTGAGATGGCCACGTGCCACCTCCATCCCTGAGGGTCCCACCAACAACTTCCCTGGTTGGGGCAGCCAATAGCAGATCAAGTTCTGAAGTTTATCCTTGTATTTGGAAAGCCTCTGCTTTCCCTGTAGCAAACATTTTCCCCCTTTACACCAGGGTTTGGAGGGCTGGCAGCCTCAGTGGGAACTGCAGGACAAGAGGGACCCGACTGTGTCCCTGTCAGGGAACTGAAGTCAATCTGTGCCTTGTCACCAGGCAGAGGTGGTGCCCAAAGAACCAGTTTGGACGAGGAGATGGCTTCTCCTCCTCTCAGGTCCCTTCTTCCAGCTTTCCTGTGTCTGCAGGTGCCTCACATCTGTGGGAGAGGTGTGTCCCAAGTGTCCCCCCTTGGGACACAAGGGGATTGCCTATGTACCACATCCTTGGGGCTGAGCTGCCCCAGAGACTGACCCCTCTTGCCAGAGCTGGGGCCGCCACCACAGGACAGCTGCCATCCTTCCCAGGCTTCCACAAATCCTCTTACTCAGCATATCAACCCCATTCCAGGCACTGCCAGCACAAAAGGACAGCCCACCTGGGATACTCGCTTAGGGACAGATAAGTTTCTAAATGAATTATGTTTATCAAAATCCTTCCAGAAAGTCCAACAGCTTTTTACAACAAGCCAGAAGGTATTAAAAATATTTTAATTAAATTCAAAGTGGAAGTAAGGAAACCACAATGCATCAAGTTATTTTTTCCCCTTCAGAAACCTCGACACAATAATTAGTTTTCTGAGTCACCATGGTTGCAAATAACCCCAGGAGCTAAGAATAGGGAACAGGCCCAGCAGCAAAGGGATGCGCCAGGAGCCCGCCGGGGCAGGAGCTGCAGCGTCGCAGGACTGGCAGCTCTCAAAAGTCACAGTCTGCAAGAACAACAGCAACTCCCCTTGGAAATGGCAACAGGCTCCCTGAAACTTTCCATAAATACTTGGCGGCGGGAGGGATGCTGCTGACAGGCAGCAGGAGCAGGCCCTCCTCGGCTCAGCTAAGAATACTCTGTATACTCATCCCAGCAAGAGCCAGAGGTACAAATCAGGTGTCTTCCTCCAACCCACTTGGGAAATGGGATTTTCAACTCATTTTACCTAAATTAGACAAGCGTTTCACAGGCTTGCTGTGCAGAATGTACGAAAATCCTAAACCTGGCACAGAAATACAAAACACAGGAGAAGGGGATCCAGCAGCTCAAAGGAGTTCTGCTCATCCCTCTGCTGTCCTCTACCCACCCCATCAAGGCAGGGACCAGAACTGTCAGGGACCTGCCTGGGACTGTTTGGCAGGGCTGAATTAAAGCATTTGGTCCCATCACAACTGTGCCACGGGTCCAGCTGATCCCGTTGCTTTGCCAGCAGGCCTATTGGGATAGGATTCCCTTGGGGGAGCCCTGGGCACAGGGGCAGAGCTGCACCCCAAGGTGCTGCCAGCACAGGCAGGCTGATTCAAGCAAAACAGAGGCTGAGTCACAGCCACAGCCTCTTCCATGGCAGATCAGAGGAGCAGAGGGGGGGAAGGCAGAGAGCAGTCTGAAAAATCCCAAAAATTTCTCAATCATGAGACTCTTCTTATTAATGGCAGATCAAGACAGGACCTGGGAGGGCTTTCCTCAGCCAGTCCAGGGTCTCAGCAGGGACTGGAATTCCCACATGCTCCTCCAGACCCTGCCTGAAGGAGGGGGACCCTGCAGAATGAGGAGATGTTTTTCCCAGAGCTGGTCTCTGCATCCTTGCTGGCTCTTGTGTCACTGCTGCAGGAAGGTCCTTACCCCAAGGGCAAATATGACCTTGTGCTGCTTGATATCACCACACACAGTCCTGGAAAATCTGCCAGTGGCTGGCAGGATCTAGGAAATTTTAGATTTGCCATGAGCTGTGCTAGGAAATTTTAGAACTTTCCTCTCTGGGATGCACTGGGTGAAGTATCCCAAGGAATGAAGTATCCCGAGGAGCTGTACACTGGGAGGGGAGTAGCCCACCCTTAGCGCCTCCATAAATCCCAGAGGCTGAACAGTACCTGGCACACTGGACTTTGACACTGCAAGAACCCCAAACTCCCCAGCAGCTCCCCTCAAGCCCACTCAGGGCCCTCCTCACCAGAGTAGGACTTGCTGTGCAGTCAGCATTAAAAACCCCTTAGATACAAGTTTATGTCACAGGGTTTTCCCTTATTACAAGCAGGTATTATCATTTTATTATCTGGGGAAAAAACTTTTCTATTTTTCCTTTTATGTTCAGCCAGATAAGCAGTGGTATGATGCAACGACTTCCCAACAGTGACAGTGAGCTACAGCAAACAGCTTTTGTCTTTTTTTGTTGTAGGTTTGTTGTTTGAGGGGGGAGAAGGGGAGGTGGTGTTTTTGGGAGGAGGAAATATAAAAGGAGAGGAAAGATTTATTTTAGAGCAAAACAACACAGTTCTTGGCACTCTGTAGTTTAAGCCTGGTGGGAAAGGAGGTCCAGCACAGTCCTGTACCAGAGCCCAACACCTGTTTCTGGGAGGGTTTCTGGGATGGTTTCCTACCCCAGCAAAACCTTGGCCAAACAAGCAACAGCACTTGGCACCTGCCCAGCTCAGCCCTCTTCAGTGCTGCTTCAGCACTGGCTATTGCTGAGCTCAAGGGAGACAGTTTAATCCACTATTTTGGGATGCTAGGGTGCCAGTCTCTTTGGTCAGGTGCTCTGAGCAGGGCTGTAGCTCCCCTACATAAATATGTATATGTATAAAAGAATTACAAGAGTAAAAATGCTATTTTAAACCCATTTCTACACTCCACAAAGTCCAAGTTTTTCCACAATGAGTTCCTCTAGATGGGAGCAGGATTAGTTTCCAGGGCCTGCCAGGCTCAGCCAAGCTGAGGTGAGAGACATGAAATCCCAAGGAAAGTTGCCCTTTTAGGACTTATGACTTCTTTGAGCTGTCACAAAGGAGATGTCCTCAGAGCAGCACTAGCAGAAGGAGATGCTGTGTTTGGTACCTGAACGACCTCTGGGTTCATCATCCTGGGATGTGGTGGAGTTGCCCCATGGCACAAATCTCAGCCTGGCACTGTCAGCAACCTCCCCCCGCCACACACGGCCCCTTCCCCAGCAGCACAACTGAACTCAACAAAAATATCAAAGCCTACGTCTGAATCTCATTAAAACTGGTGGGATTTACAAAGACAATCGAGATCTAAAGACAGAGGGGTCTAAATCCAAAGCACCAAGGATTTGCTGGAAATAAGTTAAATAGATAACACTTTTGTGTACTAGAGATTCACATCTATTTACATTCTCTACACAAATTTATGTGATATAGTATACTACACATGTTGTATTTTATACAGCGTATAATATATAATACAGGAAGGTGTCCTTGCCAGGACACCCCCCTGCAGGGGTTGGAACGAGGTGATTTTTAAGGTCACTCCCAACTCGACTCATTCTGTGATTCTATGACATATTTCACATATTGACACATACTTATATTTATATATTCACATTCCTTTTCCAGAACGCCACGTTTTGCACCCGAAAAGCATCTAAACATCACGGGGGGAGACACATCCGCGTTTCCTGCTGACAAAAGCCACAGCAGCGACTGGCGCGGGAGGGACACGGGGGCCACCCACGCGTGACCACCGCGGGCGAGTCCCACGCGCCACGCTCGCCATCGCCCCCGGGCCGGCGGGGTCGCGGCGGGACAAGGGGGAGCGCTGTGACGTCTCAATGTCATATGCAAATGAGGCGACGTCACCACAGCGCAGCCAATGGGAGATGGGAACGACCGCGAATCTTAATCCGGTGATGAAGAAACAAACAACAGGCGCGGGGGGGGCCCAGGCCGAGGGGTCCCGGGCCGCCCCCACCCCCGCCGGAGCCCTCCCCTCACGGCCGTGCGAGCCCGCCAAGCCCCAGCCCCGCGGCCCCAGCCCTGGCCCCGAGCGCGTCCCGCGGGCACTCACCGGCTCTGCGTGTCCCTCCCAGTGAGGTAGTACCGCTGCGGTGGCGGTGGCGGTGGCGATGGCGATGGCGATGGCGATGGCGATGGCGGTGCCGGTGCCGGTGCGGACCCCTCGGTTCTGCCGAGCGCGCGCCGCTCCCCCGCACAAATCGGCACCTTCCGACAGCTGATCGTGACGTCACAAAGCGGCCCCGCCCCTCTCCGCCACAGCCAATGGGAGCGGGCGCAGGGAGGGCGGGGCGCAGGGAGGGCGGGGCGCACCCCGGGGCGGGGCAGGGGTCCCGGTGGGGAGCGGGGTCTCGGGGGTCCTGGGTGGGTGAGGCCGGGGTCGTTCAGGTCCGTCCGTGTCACGGAGCGACGAGGCGGCAGAGCCCCGGGCAGGCAGCGGCGAGGGGCTGGGGACTCCCGGGAACGCGGGGGAAAAGGGAAAGGCTGGAGACCCTCGGGGGTGTTGGGGTAGAGGGGAAGGGCTGAGACCCCCGGGGGTGCGGGGGAAGAGGGGAGCTCCGGCACCGAGATACAACAGGAACGAGAGGAGGGAGATGGACGGAAATTAAAAGCTGAAGCCACTGGAGGAGAAAAAAAAATAAAAGCGATAGAGTTCAGTCCCGGCCGCAGCGTCCCGAGGACGCGGGGGGGACAGGAAGGGTGCGGGGGGATGTGCTGGCGCCTGCCCCAAGGGAAAGGACAGAGGCTTGAGGCTTCGCAAACACGCACTCCCTTCTCACTGCTACGCTGCAGAGGCCTCATGCAAAGAGAAACTTCGGTGGGACACGAATGAGGGGGCTGGGACTGCAACCCCTGGACATACCACCCAACCCTTACCCACCTGCGAGACAGAGGGAGCTCAGTGGCTTCGTGAAGAACGACACCAGGAACAGCCCTGGAGTGTCACAGCCCCCTCAGGGTGCTTGGCATCACCAGGTTTGCCTTCGTCCTCAGCAGGGGCTGACCATGGGATCAAGGTTTGGTTTGACATCGTGCCAGGCTTGGCACAGGGCAGGATATTGTCTGTATAAAGATAGAACATTTATTAAAACAGTCATTAATGAAGCAGTTTGGGTGTCTGAGTCATGCATGGAACAGTTAGGACTCATCTGGCATCACAGGTCAGAATTCCCCATTGTAAATTCACAAGAGGTAGAATTTAATTGTGTCTTATTCAACACGAGGTAACAAATTAAATAACATTTAGTCTTCTGTAATTGAAGGATCTTGCAGAATAGTGTAAACCATTTTGGGAGGTGAGCTGCCACCCTGCAGACCTCCCACCCCATTTTGAGAGAATGCGAAGAGAAGCCTGTGAAATTTGAAACAGTTCAAAGCAGAAAATCCACTCCTTTGGGATGTCCATGGAGAGCATTTTTAACTGGCCACGGCAATTTCAATTAATACCCAAAGAGCTGAAGTTGCTGGGCTTAGCAGGGGATGATCTGCAGAAGACACCCAGAATTTACAGCATAACTACACTTGACACCCAACCTGGTCCCTGGCTGAAGCCAAGAGCTCCTGCTGCCTATGGAGGTTCATTTTGCTTCTTCTACTCGTCCTGGTTTCACATGGAGTGATTACAAGATGGCTTCTGCTGGCTGCAGCAGGAGTGCAGAAATTAACCTTTAATCCTCCTGCCACAGAGGAGGGCATAAATAAATGCAACAGAATGAATCTCACTAGGGTGAAAGATGTTCCAGGGTAAACTGCCCCATTTGTGCTGGCATATGCCCTTAAAGCACAGGTTTAAATGGGATGACTCTCTCTCCATTCCCACAGAGATGGGAAATGCGTCAGTCTCTGCTGCACCCTGCCCTGGTCTTCTACTGCAAAAAGGGGGTGGCAGTCCCCTCCAGGGCAGCATGTAGCCCCAGTGATTTTCTGCAGGAAAAGCTGCTGCACAATGAAGCAGAGGAAACCTCTCACGACCCTGAGGCCATTGGCAGTGGCTGCCAGGCCCTGCTGTGCCTAGCCAGGGGCTATGGCTGGGAGCTCTGGGGTGGGTGACAGCCGTGATGTGTGACAGCACAGGAAAATGACTTTAATCTTGCTGGCACAGGGAACAGTGGGCAGGAAGCCATGCCAGCCCAGCCCTCGCGTGCCTACAATCCTGCGGTGCTGAGCTGGGGTCTACATCACTGTGCCTTCTGTCTGTGCATGGGGATAGCAAGGAGAGCCTGCAGGGACCCCCCTCTGTCCCCAGGAACAGCAGTGTCTGCTGACACTGAGTAAGAGAAAGGAAACCAGAGTGCCTTCCCTGTGGCATCCAGAGGTAGGATGGGGGCACACAGGGCATGACCTGGCTTTGGCCCCTGGCTCTCAAGTCGCTGGGAAAGTCACGCTGAGTTGAGCTGCAAGGCCTGAGGTGGCTGTGCCTGGAGAGGATGAACAAACAGCTGACTGCACCTCACCTGCCCACAGGGAATGGGGAGTTAAGTGGGGCCTTGTGTGTCACAGCACGAGTCCACTCCGGCAGCAGCCTCAGGCTCTGCTTCTCAGGCATGCAACTGGAGGCACTCCATGTATTTGGGTGACTGCTGAAAATAGGAAGGTGATCACACTGGCTTCTGCTTCATCCAGGTTTTGGGAGCAGTACTGAGAGCCCCTGGCAAGGTGCAGGGCCAGTGTGTAATGCTTGTGCTTCATTTCACCTAAAAAATGGCATGCAAAGCAGGCAAGGTGCTCATTATACAATGGTTTGAGTTGCAAGGGCCCTTAAAGATCACCTAGCTCCAAGCCACATTTACCTGTCCTTTACTTAAAAAAATAAGCTCGATCTAAAAATTGTAAAAAGATAAGAGATCAGGAAATAATAGTATGTTTGGATCTTTGCAAAGCCCTCCAAGAACATGTCTCCAGCATTTGGCATTGACTGAGAAGGGGGTTCCAGGGCACCCCTCCAGCCCCAGCTGCCCACTCCAGGTTTCCCTGCAGGTCCTTAGGGTGACCTTGCTGCATCTCAAGCAAGTGCTGCTCCTGGCATCCCTGACATGAGCTTTCCCCAAGCCCAGAGAGCTCTGCCCCAGCCATTCCTCCAGGTGATGCTGAAGTCACCAGGTAACTGCTGAGCACCTGAAGAATCATTTCCCAGCCATGTCCTGGGGCTATGGGTCAGCAGCTGGCTCAGTTCTTGCAGCTCCCAGGTGCCTGAAGGCCACAATCTGAATGAGCCACAAGGCTTGCTGCCACACCATAAGCTGAGTGTTCATTAGCTGGGGCTGGGAAGAGCAGTTAATGAAGAAGTACATGTGCAGTGTACAGAGACAATCCTTCAGCACAGGCTCTCTGCTAAACAGCAGAAAACAGTGAAATGAAACACAGAATATACTGAGCTGAAAGGGATCCAAAAGGATCATCGAGTCCAACTCTGAAGTGGATGGTCCATACAGGGTCAAGACCTCACCTCAGTGTTAGTGGCATCATGCTCTGAGCAACTGAGCTAATCTCAGGGTCTATGAATGAGCAGAAGATGCTCATTCTCCTCCCCCGAGTCACCCTATCCCAGCCTCCCCATCCCACTGAGACCCCTTGGGGCACCCACTCCAGGGCTCCAGGGATATGCCCAGACACCCACTTAGCCCCAGACAAGCGGACTGGGAGGTGCCACCAATCACACACATACCCCTCTGGTGTCTGTATGTGCTTGAGGCTCTGAGTGTGGCTTTTCCAGGAGCGTGGAGGAGCTTACCTAGAACAAATACCGTGAGTGCCCTGTGGGAATGACCACAGCCAAGAGGTGACCTCACTGGAAAGAAATCTGGGTGTTACATTTGCACTTCTCTGACAAAAAGACCTATTTCCCAAAGATGAACGTGGGACTGAGGTTTAGCATTTGTCGCATTAAAAATGGACTTGCTTCTATATTTAGAATTTGGGTCACCAGCAGCTTTCTGCCAGGAGACACCAAAACAACTTTAAAAAACAGGGCTGCAGACCGGCTTTGGGCCAGGCAGCAGTGTCCGGTCGGGAAGGCTGCCCAGGGAGCAGATATCTGGGGGAGTGATCAGAGGAGAGCTTGGCTGCCTTTCGCAGCAGCGCCCGGCCGGGGTGGCGCATCCCTCCTGGCTAGGGACGCTGCTGAGCCCCCTCTACGAGCAGCCCCGTGATCCCAGCCCGGCGGCGCTCTGACTCAGGGCACCCTGGACTGACACCTCCTTGTTTTCCACAGGCTCCTCGCTTGGTTTGGGGACAGAAGGAAATAGCAACTGGTGAGATGAGCCTAGTAATCTGACCCAAGGCGATTCTGGAGCGTGTGTCTCAGCATGGAGTAACCTTGCCAGTCGGGGTGCAGCAGCCGAGCTCACTGCCTGTGAGGCGAGAGGATGGTGTGGGACTGCACACGGCAGCACCCTGTCACCCCCTGCCACTGCCACCTCCCACCCCCGGAGCTCTGCCAGAGCCCTGCGGTGGGAGCAGGCAGCTGCCACAGACAGCAGGCAAAGGTTTGCACTCTCCCTGCCTGCCCTGCAAGGAGGGAGTGGGGAACGCAGCTGCTATCCCTCCTGATGGGTCTCCTCAAAAGTGACTGATACCAGCTTCCATCTTCCACACCGTGCCAAGAGAAGGAGCCTGCCCACCTTGCTGCCGGTCCTTCCTGCTCCCTGGCCTTTGCAATGCCCCGAGGCTCCTCATTCCCTGCCTCCCTGGATCCCAGCAGCAGCTGTTACCTCCAGGGTCTCCCAGCCTCACCCCAAAGGAGTTCATGCCATCAGCTGCAGTGGGGGGATGCACTCCATAGGAGTGGGATGTGCTCCATTGTGGTAGGGTGCTCTCTGCAGGGCTCATGTGTACTCCACAGGGCTGGGATGTGCTCCATACGGGACGGGTGAGCTCTGTAGGGTAGTGTGCTCTCCACGGGGAGGCTGTTCTCCATGGGGGAGTTGTTCTCCACAGAGGGAAGTGTGAGTTCCATCGAGTGTGCATTAGCCCAGAGGGTACACAATGGCTCACACAACGGCTCACACGGTGGATCCCGGCTCAAGGTTTGCTCTTCCTGTAGCCCTTCTGACTCCAAGCAGGCTGGACAAGGACCTAGGAGCCCTTGGGAGTCTTAGCACTAAAGAGTCCCCCAAGACTCAGAGACTCCTGAGAGGTTTCAGTGATGGCATGGCTTTGTAGCTTCTATAAATCAGGACTGTTGGATTTTCCAGGCTTTGGATCACACATCTGTGGCTT